ATATATATATATATATATATATATATATATATAAATGGCGTAGTATATGAGAATTATTTTCTTATGTGAGAATGTGAATGTTCAATCTCAACTAAATATTGTCATTATTGTAGATGTTTTTATCATTGTTATCGTCACCATCTTTATCACAATTTTCACTGTCCTCAATATTTTCATCACCCCTATTATTGTTGTCGTTATCGTTGTCATGTTGTTGCTACCATCATTTATGTTGGAATGTAAATGTCTAATCTCAACTCTAAGATTAAAAAAAAATACAAATAAAACTACCACATATTTCACCACAATTGAACATGTCACTATCATTAATGGTCATCATAATTATTAATGTCAGCACCATGTGTATATTTGAATGTGTTTATCTACTTGATTTATTTAAATAATTATGAATTAATGGGACAACTTTTTAAATAAATTTATAAAATATTATCATAATATTAAAATAGAAATTGAGTAAATAATTGATGATCTTATCAATATTGAAAGGTGAAATATAATATAATACATTTATCATATATGTTATTTTATTTATCTTTTATTTTTTTATTTCTTTTTTGTACATTTGTTTTCCTTATGGGTGAGAAAAAATATTATTTTCTTTTTAACTTTTACATTATTTTTCTACTTATGGTGATAAATTTTTGTTTTTTTTTGTAATTTTCGCAAACATATTTTTAAGTATTTTTTCTTTGATAATGGCTTCTAATTGCTTTGAAAAAATTATTAAAAATTAGTTAAATTCCACTTTTTTCCCTCTATTTCTGTCAATTAATAATTGTTGTGCACCTATTTTAAAATATAAACATTTAATTCTTCTATTTTTAAAATGTGAAATTTTGGTTCTACTACCAATTTAATGTTGGTTGATTATTAAATTTTGACGTTGTTGGATGATTTGTCCCCACTTAAATAACATGATATTTAGTTATGTGAGATATAAGAATAAAATGTTAAAAATATAAAAGATCTTCATTTGTAACTATTTTTACGAGTAATTGATATTTATTTTATTAATAAAAAATTTACTTATATTTTTTTAACTTTTTTTATTTAAATGTTATTTTATTAAATGTCATATCACTTAAGTGTAAATAAATATTAAAATTTAATAATTAGTAATACTAATTTAATAAAGGGTCTAAAATCTCATATTTTTAAATTAAAGAACTAAATATCTCTATTTTAAAATAAAGATAAAAATTATAATTTAACCTTAAAAAATTCTTTTGTTAACGAGATTGAAGACCATTGTTCAAGTAAATTTCACACACTCACAAATCATATAATATATATGAATTAAATTTATAGAAGAATATTTAAATTAAATGTCCCAGAAAAAAGAGAAGAATATTTAAATAAATTTCATATTCACCCAAATAATACAATGATTACGAAAGAAATGCATAGAATGTGGTTAGAGACAGATGTTTACCTTGAAATTTATTGACTTTCGCCAATAAAACTCTTTCCTAGATTTTTCTTGCAATGCCAATAATAAATATGACTAAAAGGAATAAAAATCTGTGCTAATAACGTGTTATAAAAATTTAAAAGAGAAACAGAATTCCTTGTATATTCATCTTTCTATAAATGAAATTATTTATTTATAAGTGTAAATTGTAATTGAATAATTACAAATAATTTAATAATACTTAAGAAAAATATAAATAGTCATTATCAACTTCCACTAATAATAATTTATAACAAATACATGTAAAAATGTAAAAAATATTGTGTGAAAGGAAGGATATATGTTATTTGTACAATGATTATGCAGTATTATTTTCTATGCATCTTTCTATTTATTTTAAAACCTTGATGAAGAATTTATTTTACTAGAGTCGGATTACTGGTTAGAGACCAAAAAATTAGAAAACTATGCACAAAGTTTATAGTTGTTAGTAGTTTTAATGAATAAAAAGAATACCATGTTTAAATGGTTGAAGAATAATTTAGCTTTTTTTTTATAGAAATTCTATGGTACCCATCTTATTTGAGAGGGTACTGATACAGTCTTTTATATTTTATATTTTTAATAATTTATTTAAATAATATTTATGATATTTTATTCTTTCAATTTTTAAATTATTTAATCATTTTATTTTTATTTTATATATTCTAATTTATTTATAATAATATTATTATATATTTAAATAGTTTAATTTTAATAATTTTTTAAG